CTGGGAGTGCCTTTTCCTCCTGAGTATTGTAGGTCCTGTTTGGCATTTTCTTTCAAAACAGGCCTGTTTCGTCACAATTAAACACTTGTTCAGGTTTCAGTCCTTCACTGTCTATGTACTCATTGAATTCCTGCACATATTTTTCAGCCGCTTTGTGGTCCGAACTGACAGCCTCGCCATGCCTTATCACACTATGTATGCCACAACGATTCTTAAATCTCTCAAACCAACCTTTGCTGGCCTTAAATTCACTCGCATCACCACTAGTTGCAGGCATTTTTTTAATTAAATCGTCATGCAACTTCCTAGCCTTTTCACATACGATCGCTTGAGAGATGCTATCTCCTGCTATCTGTTTTTCGTTTATCCACACTAATAACAGTCTCTCAACATCTTCTATTACTTGCGATCTCAGTTTCGAAAACGTAGTTGTACCTTTGGCAAGAACAGCTTCCTTGATTGCCGTTTTCTTGGCCACAATAGTAGCGATGGTTGATTGGGGTTTTGTGTACAACCTGGCCAGCTCGGAGACATGCATTCCACTTTCATACTTAGCAATGATATCTTTCTTCATACCAAAAGTGATTCTCACCCTTTTTGCTGTAGGGTTGGCACTAGAAGCTTTCTTGGGGCCCGTGGTGACTTATTTTGCAGGTGCAATCACTAAAAACGCTGTGATAATTTGAAATGTTCCGATTGTATGTTTGGATGCGACCGCGGTGGCTGGCTTGTAAACACTGGCACCCACGGGACAAGTGAGGCGTGCTCAGGTCACATATGGACGTGTCTCGAATGGAACGAATCGGGTTGGTCGAGTTTTTTAGCGCTAGTCGAGGCAAAATGTTTGCGTTAAAATGTATCGCTAGTCGGATTTAACGTTATACGATGCCATCGTTGGTCGAGGGACCATTGTATGTAGTAATCTGAATAACAGTAAATCACTTATTTTTTGTGTGAATAAAAATTCAAAACGAAAAGCAGGCATAATATAAGAGGGGCCTGAAGACGTGACTAATGAACAAAGAAAATATTATTTTAGTGCCAGGAATGTCTGCATTGTTTATTCTGGCCCCTATTTTGAAATTTGCCTTTCTTGAATTTTGTGTGAAATTAGCCAAATTAGTAATTTTTTATCCTTTTTTCTGTGTAGTTGAAAGGTAAATGGGCAGTTTCTTGTACTCAGTTGATAGAATAAAAGGAGTTCTAGCAAAATAACTGAGTTTGGTCAAGTGGATCAAAGGAATTGACCCAAAATAGGGCTAAAAGTGGACGAAATTTCCAATGTGTAAATATCACCGAGACTACTAACTTCACAAGAGCGTAATTCTGTAAGTTTTCCATTAAATTTTGAACTTTTGGTTTTATTATCTTCAGAAAAAGATTCTGTCATTTCATAAGAAAAAATAGTTTTCTTTTTTCTTAAATTTTTTGACACTGAGCAAGTTTGCAAGCAGGGGGTCTTGACACTCAAAGGGTTTAAGGGGTGGAGGGGTAAGATAATGGAAGGCCTCAATCAGATAACCAAAAACTTACCTCCGGGTTATCATATGACTAAGACACATGTCAGGAAACATTGTCCTGTTTTCTGACAAACCTACCTAAGAAGGAAAATCAAATGTATTTTGTGTAATGTATAAGTGGAGATTGAGTGAATGTGATTTCTTCTTTGGGTCATTGTGCCTTGATGGGAGACAGCCTTTGTGTAAAAAAAAAGAAAAAAAAGATTCTCTCACAATTGCAGGACTTTCATGCTAGGTAGCAATAACCTTTCCATCAAGAGATGTTAAGTTGATTAATATATTGTTGAAAATGGTGTAAAATATTGACAAGTTAATGAATAAGACGCATTATCTTTACCTCGTCACTTTTGCTGCCTTCAGCTTATACTCTATATTTGAATGAAGAAACCTACCGTGTAGGTGAAACATTTCAACAATAAAGTTATCCAACTGTTGCATGTCTCACTCACCCACTAATTATATTTTCTCTCAAGGCCTTTTATACTCTGGCTCACTAAGCCCTGGGTAAGGCTTGCAAAATGTGGCCATAAAATATGTAGAGAGCATACACTGCCTGCATTCATTATATTGACCTTATAAAATGTTGAAGATGCATAAAATCTTTCTAATTGTATTTTTCGGATGGTGTTCATTCACACACAGGTCATTTTGAGAAAATTTATTCAAAACGAAGCTAGTGTACTATAGTATATAGTGTGAGTATTTTGGTGTTGAATTTGGTTATGCTCATAATGAGCTATTACTAGTGATATTTTTTTTTTTTTTTTTTTCAACAAGTTGGTCGTCTCCCACCGAGGCAGGGTGACCCAAAAAAGAAAGAAAATCCCCAAAAAGAAAATACATTCATCATCATTCAACACTTTCACCACACTCACACATTATCACTGCTTTTGCAGAGGTGCTCAGAATACAACAGTTTAGAAGCATATACGTATAAAGATACACAACATATCCCTCCAAACTGCCAATATCCCAAACCCCTCCTTTAAAGTGCAGGCATTGTACAATGCCATGATATATTTATAATCATTTAAAAATATGACTTCAAATATCATCCCTTTGGTAATGCTATATACACCTACCATCCGACTTACGACCGAGTTCGGTTCCGAGAAACCGGTCGTAAGTCGAAATGGTCGTAAGTCGAACTTTGCTACTGAATATCAACAAAACATTTTTGTAATGACTTTATTGTTTTATTTTGGTATTTCATGTAGGTTGGTAGTAGGTTGGTAGACAGCAACCACCCAGGGAAGTACTACCGTCCTGCCAGATGACTGTGAAACAGAAACCTGTAACTGTTTTGCATGATGGTAGGATTGCTGGTTTCTTTTTCTGTCTCATAAACACGCTAGATAACAGGGATGTCTTGCTACTCCTACTTACACTTTGGTCACACTTCACGGACACGCACATGCATATATATATACGTATATATATATTGGCAAGAGGCGTGGAGTTAAAAGATAAAGAATCACACACAAAGTGGGAGTTGTCACAGCTGCTCTTTGCCGATGACACTGTGCTCTTGGGAGATTCTGAAGAGAAGTTGCAGAGATTGGTGGATGAATTTGGTAGGGTGTGCAAAAGAAGAAAATTAAAGGTGAATACAGGAAAGAGTAAGGTTATGAGGATAACAAAAAGATTAGGTGATGAAAGATTGAATATCAGATTGGAGGGAGAGAGTATGGAGGAGGTGAACGTATTCAGATATTTGGGAGTGGACGTGTCAGCGGATGGGTCTATGAAAGATGAGGTGAATCATAGAATTGATGAGGAAAAAGAGTGAGTGGTGCACTTAGGAGTCTGTGGAGACAAAGAACTTTGTCCTTGGAGGCAAAGAGGGGAATGTATGAGAGTTATAGTTTTACCAACGCTCTTATATGGGTGTGAAGCGTGGGTGATGAATGTTGCAGCGAGGAGAAGGCTGGAGGCAGTGGAGATGTCATGTCTGAGGGCAATGTGTGGTGTGAATATAATGCAGAGAATTCGTAGTTTGGAAGTTAGGAGGAGGTGCGGGATTACCAAAACTGTTGTCCAGAGGGCTGAGGAAGGGTTGTTGAGGTGGTTCGGACATGTAGAGAGAATGGAGCGAAACAGAATGACTTCAAGAGTGTATCAGTCTGTAGTGGAAGGAAGGCGGGGTAGGGTCGGCCTAGGAAGGGTTGGAGGGAGGGGGTAAAGGAGGTTTTGTGTGCGAGGGGCTTGGACTTCCAGCAGGCATGCGTGAGCGTGTTTGATAGGGTGAATGGAGACAAATGGTTTTTAATACTTGACGTGCTGTTGGAGTGTGAGCAAAGTAACATTTATGAAGGGATTCAGGGAAACCGGCAGGCCGGACTTGAGTCCTGGAGATGGGAAGTACAGTGCCTGCACTCTGAAGGGGGGGTGTTAATGTTGCAGTTTAAAAACTGTAGTGTAAAGCACCCTTCTGGCAAGACAGTGATGGAGTGAATGATGGTGAAAGTTTTTCTTTTTCGGGCCACCCTGCCTTGGTGGGAATCGGCCGGTGTGATAATAAATAAAATAAATAATGAAAATCTCAGTATGGTACTGGAACAACATGAATATCTCAGTTTGGTACTGGAACAACATGAATATCTCAGTATGGTACTGGAACAACATGAATATCTCAGTATGGTACTGGAACAACATGAATATCTCAGTATGGTACTGGAACAAACATGAATATCTCAGTATGGTACTGGAACAACATGAATATCTCAGTTTGGTACTGGAACAACATGAATATCTCAGTATGGTACTGGAACAACAAGAATATCTCAGTATGGTACTGGAACAACATGAATATCTCAGTATGGTACTGGAACAACATGAATATCTCAGTATGGTACTGGAACAACATGAATATCTCAGTATGGTACTGGAACAACATGAATATCTCAGTATGGTACTGGAACAACATGAGCTTTTAAACACTTTAATTGTATAACTTAAAGGCTATCTCTTCAGATCTCTGGAGTGTTGACTCGCATTTCTTAGTAATTTTAGCACAGAAAAACAGCAAATTATTTATTCTTAACTCTTAACTATCGTAGATAATGTTGCATGGGGTTGATCATTGGGGTGATGGGACAAATGTTTTAATTTGCCCTTTGGGATTTGATGCTTCCAAACATACAGTTTACAGTGTTTCCATGTACAGTGGACCCCCGCATAACGATTACCTCCGAATGCGACCAATTATGTAAGTGTATTTATGTAAGTGCGTTTGTACGTGTATGTTTGGGGGTCTGAAATGGACTAATCTACTTCACAATATTTCTTATGGGAACAAATTCAGTCAGTACTGGCACCTGAACATACTTCTGGAGTGAAAAAATATCGTTAACCGGGGGTCCACTGTATGTTTATAAGAAAATATTGTTAAATACACAGCTCCTCTCCAAATACATAGTAACATAACCTGATAAATTTGGTTATTATGTATATCTTAGGGAAGTATTATTTTATTTTCAGGTAACTTTGTTACGTCAGAATTTAGCAACACCTCGCCGACAGACAGCACCACAGGGTAGCAGCACATCCTCAAGCACTGGCGGTAGTGGGTCCCCTTCACACATTCACACCCCGTCAACATCTAACATCCCAGATGATGTTCTAGGTAAAGGTTGTTCTGTTAATAATTTTGTTTTAAGACATCATTAAATCTTGCCTGGAGCCTGGCTCACAGCTGGGCTCCATGAGTAGAAAGACTCTTGAAGCTCATCAAAGGTATATCAAAGATTACACACTTACTTTCTACCAGCATCAGAGGCACACACCTCCATTAGTAGGCCTTCAGTTGCAGTAAGAACATAACTCTTTCACTAGTGTTTGGCTGTAACCTAGTATCATCATCACATATTCAATAACCACATGAACACAGTCATTAAGGTTCTGTCTCACTGTCATTGACCACATGAACACAATCATTCAAGTTCTATCTCGCGTCAGTTTCCGTAATAGAAAGTAAGTATGGTTGAAATTGTTATACTCGAATTACATAAAATCCCTTCCTCTCAAAAAGAATTTTTTTCATAATTAAGTAGTCATGTTTTGTGAGACCAAATAGTCTGTATAATTTTTTAAAATTTTAATTGTTTGTGCCCCATATCCAATCCTGTGGACATAGCTCGAAAGCATGTAGATGCAAAGGTCTAGGAAACTGGTTCTAAAATTGCTAACAAAAATTCCTTTGGCTCTTAAATTTTTAAAAAGTGGTCCATTGTTATCTGTTAACCTGTAAACGGTCCAAACGATATACGGGTGGTCCCTCGCTTTTCGTAGTTCTGGCAATCATAGATTTCGGAAATCTAGGGATATTTTCGTATAAACATGGGCTCGCTTTTCATAGGTTGACTCGTGAGTAGTAGTTCGTCCGGGACGCGTACCCATGGCGTGAGCCGGGGTGGCAGCCAGTCTGGCATTGTGTTTCCCATGAGTGAAGGTCCCCTCACGTGCTCCAGCAAAATTTTTTCATAATATTCCTTTTTATTTTAGTGCTTGCAAGTACTAAATAAGCTACCATGGCTCCAAAGAAAGCTCCTAGGCCAAGCCTGTGGTAAAGAAGGTGAGAAATACGATTGAATTTAAGAAAAACATCATTGAACAATATGAAAGTGGTACAAGTGCGGCCAAAACTGGCCAGGATGTATAAAAAACCCTACACAACCATATGTTCCATAGGGGGCCAAGAAAAGGAAATCAAGGATGCGGGTTGTTGCAAAGGGAGTAACTAGCTGACAAAATGAATCACCAGTACTCGAAGAGGTTGAGAAGTTATTATTGGTGTGGATAAATGAGAAACAATTAGCAGGATACTCTTATGACTTCGATTATTTGTGAAAAAGGCTAGGCAGTTGCACAACGTCTGTAAAGAAATTGCCTGAAAATAGTGGTGATATGAGTGAATTTAAGGCCAGCAAAGGGTTTTGGTTTGAGAGATTTAAGAACCGTACTGGCATACACAGAGTGGTAAGGGCCATGGTGAGGCTGCCAGTTCGGACAACAAAGCGGCTGAAAATATGTGCATGAATTCAAGGAGTACATAGAGGCTGAAGGACTGAAACCTGAACAAGTGTTCAATTGTGACGAACAGGCCTTTTTTGGAAAGAAAATCCCAAAAAGGGACCTTCATTACACAGGAGGAAAAGGCAATGCCAGGACACAAGCCTATAAAAAGACAGGCTGACGCTAATGTTCTGTGCTAATGTAGTGGGGATTTCAAAGTGAAGCCATTACTAGTGTACCATTCTGAAAATCCAGATGTTCAGGAAAAACAATGTTATGAAGAGTAAATTGTGTGTGCTTTGGAAATCTAATAGTAAGGCATGGGTCCGAGGGAAATTTTTGTAGAGTGGTTCAATGAAGTGTTTGGCCCTAGTGTGAAGGAGTATCTCCTGGAAAAGAAATTGGATCTCAAGTGCCTGCTAGTAATGGACAATGCACCTGCTCATCCTCCAAAATTGGGATGACCTAATTTTCAAGGAGTTTGGGTTCATCACAGTAAAGTTCTTGCCCCTGAATACCACTCCTCTCCTCCAGCCCATGGACCATCAGGTCATTGCAAACTTTAAAAAACTCTACACCAAAGTGGAGTGTGAGCAAAGTAACATTTATGAAGGGATTCAGGGAAACCGGCAGGCCGGACTTGAGTCCTGGAGATGGGAAGTACAGTGCCTGCACTCTGAAGGAGGGGTGTTAATGTTGCAGTTTAAAAACTGTAGTGTAAAGCACCCTTCTGGCAAGACAGTGATGGAGTGAATGATGGTGAAAGTTTTTCTTTTTCGGGCCACCCTGCCTTGGTGGGAATCGGCCAGTGTGATAATAATAATAATACACCAAAGCAATGTTTCACAGGTGCTTGACTGTGACCACAGACACTCACTTGACCCTAAGGGAATTTTGGAGAGAAATTTTCAGCATCCTCCATTGTATAACCCTTATAGGTATGGCTTGGGAGAGAGTGACTACCAGGACTTTGAACTCTGCCTGGAGAAAATTTTGGCCAGATTGTGTCGACAAGAGGGATTTTGAAGGGTTTGGGACTGACCCTGATGAGCCTATGTCTGTTGTTAAATCAATTGTGGCACTGGGGAGTTCCATGGGGTTGGATGTGAGTTTGGAGGATGTGGAAGAATTGGTGGAAGACCACAACGAAGAGCTCACCACTGAGGAGCTGCAAGAGCTTCAGCAGGAACAGCAACAGATCGCAGCTCAGAATCTTGCTGCAGAGGAGGAGGAAGAGAGATGGAAGATGGTGCCTTCTTTAGAAATTAGAGAGATTTTTGCTAAGTGGGGTAAGATGGAAAGCTTTATGGAGAAACATCACCCTGACAAGGTTGTTGCAAGCCATGTTGACAACATGTATAGTGACAGTCTTGGGCCATTTTAGGGAAGTGTTAAAGAGATGCCAGAAACAGAGCTCTCTCCACAGTTATTTTGTGAGACAGGACTCCATGACTCTCAAGGTGGTCCTAGTGGCATTAAGAAACAGAGAAGAGAAGCAACCCCAGAAAAGCAAATGGTACCTGAGGTGTTGATGGAAGAGGATTCCCCTTCCAAACTATAAACAATCCAATCTCTCTCCTCCTCCAGTCTCCCATACACTAAGAAGAATCTCCAATAAAGGTAAGTATTATGCTGTTAATGTTTCATTCATCATTTCCCATTGTATTGTTTATGTACTACATGTATATTTCGTGTAAAAAATTTTTTTGTTTTAATACTTCTGGGTGTCAGGAACGGATTAATTGTATTTACATTATTTCTTATGGGGAAAATTGAATTTGTAAATCGTAGATTTCGTTAATAGTAGCAACTCCAGGAACGGATTAACTACGAAAAACGAGGGACCACTGTATACGTTTTTTCAACATTTGATAGTATGTAAAAAAAGTAGATCATCTTTTTTTTTTGCATTTGAAAACGTGTAAAAAAACTTTGATGTACGTTTTTTTTTGTTATTGAAAATATGTAAAAAAAAACGTAGATCTAATTTTGGAGCACTACGCATGTGAACGTAGATCTGCTTGGACCGTTTACGGGTTAAAAAGCAAATTTTGAATATTTCTCAGAATTTCGGGTATTTTCTTATCACTGGTATGAATAAATGGACAGTGAAGCACCAAGTGGTCAAGGAAGTGATGACAAAACTGACTGCATTTAAAGAATAAATGCCAAATATGCCTGCACCAGGCTTAAGCTAATAAAAACAAGTCAGTCTGTTCACTGCAATTTGGTCTGTAAATATGCTTATCTATAAACTCAGATTAAAGTTGTAATAAATGACTGCCGATGAATAAACACAGATGGACATGAGGCTCGATGAACCTGTCAGTTTTGGGGCCGTGGTTTGAGTCTCTCGTCTATCCTATTTATTCATGCTTATCTATGTTCGTGTTATCTTATTGGGTTATAAATCTACTCAGGCTCTTAAGGTATTTTGGCTAATTTATCAGCCTTATGTAGGAATTCATTAAGATGCAGTCTGTAGAAATTGTAAAGTACATTATTTCCTCTCAATTATATTTTTTCATACCTATCTCTGGCTTCTCCAGTGAGTATGTTAATCAACCCATGAGTCCAGTGTATTTGATGATGAATCATTAGTCATTGTTTTAATAATAAAGCAAGACTATATTTTGCTTTTTTTCAATAATATTACCACTACCATGATGAATGAGCTGCTTTGCTGTTCCCTGTAACAAAATGTACATTATTATGCTCTGTTTATATCAATTTTGTTTCTACCACATTAGTTACTTCTCACCAAAGTAGGATGACCCAAACAAGGAAATGTTCACCATTGTTTGTTCTGTAGTTCTCATACTAGAAGTGTGTGAACATCACAGTTCAAATGGCCTGAATTGCAGTATCCCCATCCATACTTGAGAGTGCAGGCATTGTACTTTCCACCTCCAAAATTCAAATCCAGCAAACTAGACTTGCTTGAGCTAATGCTTTATTTTACATAAAGGCACAAAATTTTTTAACCAGATGTAATTTACTTTTTCTCAGTTGTATATAAAAGCTGTACAATAGTTTGTCAAACTTCTTCCTTGATTTGTCAAGTACAGCACTGTATTTCAACACAGTCTGCATTTTAAAAATGCATTTTTTTGCAGGTAGTATTTGTTCTTGTATTGATGTTTGTACTGCGAGTAATTTGAAAAGTGAAGTCTCTGTAGATTTTAATATTGGTCTTGAGTATATGCTGTGCAATTTTTACCAGCAGTATAGACCACTACCTGCTATATTTTTTCACCTGAGTTGAAGCTAGACAGTAATAGATGTAATAGTACCCGTAAAATATATAACATTATCGCCTGTACATTCAAGCTTGTATTTTAGATATCGTTTTGCTTAGAATTAATCTTTTTGAAATCTCAGACTTGATGAAGGTAAATTCTGAGAGTTAGTTCATATAAATTGTAGGCTTGCTCAGCATTACACATGTTTATACTATACTCACTCATCAACTTGTTGTCCTAGTTACCATCCTGTTTATTCATAACTTGTCTTGCTTCATTGTTCTTGACTGGATGTAATAAAACTTAAAAAAATTTGTTCCTTGCAGAAGAGAGTCCAGAAAATCCAGTGTTGACAAAGGAGTTCCAGTATACCCACAATGCTGAGATACTCTGTGGTCCAGTGACAGTCAACCGCTGTATTGACTTGTCTGGCCAGGGGGCTAATATAACGCTTACATCGCCTAGCTTACTTGCCTGCCGCAGCAGAACTTACCTTGTTCACATAAAAGCTTTGCCCACGAAATTGCCTCAACAGCAGACACAACAGCAGCAACAGACACAGCAGCAACAATCACAGCAACAACAGCATGTATGTATTACTTGTATTTATTCACAGGGAAGAATTCTGACATAAAAATCGTTATAATACTTTTAATGTTGTGCTGTCACCCTTCATGTATCTTTTGTCAGTATGTGAGGATTTTTCTTACCCCCTGCAGCTCAGTCTGAGACCATGCTTCCCTAATGATGACCTGACCAACCAGGCTGTTGCTACTTTCAGTTTGCTTGCTAGCATAGTCATGATCAGGTATTTTCTAAAGAAACTTGTCCAGCTCTTTCTTGAACACTTCATAATGACTATTTACTGGCAATACATTGTAAAAGTGGGAGCAAGGGGCTAGTAACCCCTTCTGTATATATTACTAAATTTAAAAAGAGAAACTTTTGTTTTTCTTTTTAGGTCACTTTGTCTTGGTGGGATATAGCCAGTTTGTTGAAAGAAAAGAAAACATTGTAAAGCTTTTTATCCCAGGTTTTGTAATAAAGCTCTCTGCAAACTGCACCTTTTCTTGTTTTTAGTTTTCTTGTTTTATGTTAGTGTAAAACCCATAGGGATCATACAGCATCTGGGAGATGAGAGTTAATCATGCTTGACCCAAGGAAAGAGAATGTAGCTCCAATTCCTTGGATCAAGAGCTTGTCACTGGCATTGAGGTATCCCTCCCTTGAAGGACATTTAGATAGTGTCATCATTGTTTCACTGGTGGGTAACTTGTGTAAACATTCCCAGACATTTCTGATACTTGGTATATTTGCTCTATACCAAGGTTGTTTAACCCCTTCAGGGTTGCAGCCCCTGCTCTCAAACTTGCTCTCAGGGTCGCAATATTTAGGAAAAAAAAATCATTATTTTTTTCTTATGAAATGGTAGAGAATCTTTTCTGAAGGTAATAACCAAAAACTACAAAATTTGATGGAAAACAAACTTGCATTTTCACGAATTTTGCTGTGTTAGTGATATTTATGTATACAATTTGAGTTTGATTTTAGGACAGTTCCATTGTTCCAGTTAACCAAATTACTGGCTCTTTTGCTAGTATGTTTACCATTCTATCGATTGACTATAGGAAACTGCCCATTCAACTATTAACCCTTTCAGGGTCCAGAGGCCAAATTTCAAAGTGCGCACCAGGGGCCAAGAATAAAATTTTTGTTATTTTTTCTTACGAATTGGTAGAGAATCTTTTTCTGAAGGTAATAAAACAAAAAGTACGAAATTTGATGGAAAACTGACGAAATTATGCTTTCGCAAATTTTGATGTGTCTGTGATATTTACGAATTGCCGATTTTGCCGACTTTGACTCCCATTTTAGGCTAATTACATTATTCCAGTCGACCAAATTCTTAGCTATTTCACTAGTATTACTTCTATCGATTGAGCACAAGAAATCGCCAAGTCAATGTTTCAACTACAAAATTAGTGATCAGAAATTGGTAATTTGGCCAATTTAACACAGTTCAAAATATTCCAGTTTCAAAATAGGGTCCAGAATAAACAATGTAGGTATTCCTGCCATTAAACTAACATTTCCTCTGTTCATTAGTTACGTTTTGAGGCTTTACAAATGAATTCCATTTTGATTTTTTATTCACATAATGAATTTTTATTCATACCAAAAAATAGAGTATTTACTGTTATGCAATATTGTAATAATTGTATAAATATCATCACTACATTTGTGAATGTATATTAGACCCACCAGCTGGCGGGTATTAGACATGTGAGGTCGTTTGTTTACTCTTGAACATCGGCAAAAATTTAACATTTCCGCTACTTTGAGCTCAGTTTCAAGCCATTTCCAGTGCTAAAACCTATCAAAATCATCTCTATTTCTGTAATATGTCTTCCATTCTATCAAATGAGATCAAGAAATCGCAAATACAACTATAAAAACATACGAAAAAACACTGCAAAAACACTGTTTTAATTGAAAATCACGGTCAGGTTTTTTCTCTCATTATACACTGTGTGCTGCAGGATTTGTTTTATGTGGTGCACACATACCACATAGATGTATTCTCTCATATCAGGCCCAAATTTACCACTCACAGCTTATCAGAGTGAGCTGAGCTCATGGCGTAGATCTACGGTTTGGACCCTGAACATAAAGCTGTAGATCTACGGCACGGACCCTGAAAGGGTTAAACTACCCAATAAAGTGATCAGAAATTGGTAATTTGCCCAGTTTCACACACAATTAGAAATGCCAGTTTCATAATAGGGTCCAAAATAAACAGTACAGACATTCTTCACGCTAAATAACATTTTCTCTGTTCGCTAGTCATGTCTCTGCCCCTCTTATATTACGCTATTTTTTTTTATTTTGAATTTTTATTCACACAAAATAGAAGATTTACTGTTATATAGTAATAGTTGTATAAATAATGTCAGTGCATTCCTAAATGCATATTTGACTGGCCAGTTGGATGCATATTGGACAAGTGACATCATTTGTGTACTCTGGAATATCAGCAAAAATTGAGCATTTTTTGCTACTTTGAGCTCAATTTCAAGCTACTTTCAGTCCTGAAACTAATCAAAATCATCTCTATTTCTGTAACACAGCTTCCATTCTAACAATTGAGACCAAGACACTGAGAATACAACCATAAAAACCATACGAAAATACACTGCAAAGTCACAGTTTTAGATCAGAATCAGGGTTGCCATTATTTTTCTCATTATGCACCGTGTGCTGCAGTATTTTTTTTTTTTTATATGGTGCACACTTACCGCATAGACCCATTATCTCATATCTAGGCCCAGATTTACTGTTCATAGCTTATCTGAGTGAGCTGAGCTTATGGCATACTATGGGACCAACACTGGCTTCTAGCCATGATGCATTGGGACCGACCGTGAGAGGGTTAACAAATTTCAAGTGGGAGACGGGTGACGTGATAAAAAAAACACTTTAATATAAAGCAGGATTTGAACCAGCACACACTACATGAAAGTACACATTAGTTTATCCACATAGCCATATCTCGTATATCTGGGATCTGGCTGTGTGGCTAAAGTGTGCAGAGTATAGAGGCTCGGAATCCTGCTGTGGACTGCGAGATAATGTATATAAATGATACTATATCTTGAGATCTAATATCATTATCTCTCTAAATTACTGTATCCCATCCATTGCTTGAGTTATGGTTGTGATTCATTAGATTTATCTCTTATTTTTAATTCGGTCTAAAGTGTTAAAAATTTCTTTATCAGTGATTTAAATAAAAATACCTTTTAAGATAATACTCCATTATTCCATAAAGCTTTACCTCTTTTCCTAGGACCTTCAGAAGAACAGTGACCTTGATCTGGTAACTCAGTACATGCCTCCACAGTCATCTACATTCCTGGACCGCTTGGCAGCTTCCTCAAACAAAAGGGTGGATTTAGTGCGAGGGTGTGATATTATCCAGGAGCTCTCCATAACAGTCAGGTGTTGCATAAAGACTACCATTCCTCATGAGAGGTAAGTTTTATATTATTAAATGTGCCATGTGAAAAACTTAGGTGATGTTGATTGACTACAGAAAATGTTCTCTGCATGTCATTGGAGTGGATAAATTGTCAGCCCATTTTTATGCACATTTTATGAAGTCCCAAAAGAAAACACAAATTTACTTTCTTTGATGAACCTTAATCATGGCCTAGAGTGAAATTATTTGAGCAGCTTTATAAATTCATGTGAAACCTCAACTATGCATTACTTAGGGCTGCTGTATCCTCCTCACTTTAAACTTCACTGTGCATCACTTAGGGCTACTTGTTTCCTCCTCACTTAAACCCTCACTGCTCTTCATTGAGGGATTATTGTATCTTTCTCACTAACACTTAGAACCTCATTGCTCACCACTTTGGGGTTCCTGTATCACTACATGCAGAACTTCGCCTTACACTATCAATAAAGAACAAAGTTCCTCTTGATAATTACTCTTATTTTACTCATGAAATCGTAATTTAATTTTTTTTTTTTTCAACAAGTCGGCCTTCTCCCACCAAGGCAGGGTGACCCAAAAAAGAAAGAAAATCCCCAAAAAGAAAATACTTTCATCATCATTCAACACTTTCATCACACACACACACACATTATCACTGTTTTTGCAGAGGTGCTCAGAATACAACAGTTTAGAAGCATATACATGTAAAGATACACAACATATCCCTCCAAACTGCCAATATCCCAAACCCTTCCTTTAAAGTGCAGGCATTGTACTTCTCATTTCCAGGACTCAAGTCCGACTATATGAAAATAACTGGTTTCCCTGAATCCCTTCACTAAATATTACCCTGCTCACACTCCAACAGATCGTCAGGTCCCAAACACCATTCGTCTCCATTCACTCCTATCTAACACGCTCACGCACGCTTGCTGGAAGTCCAAGCCCCTTGGGTGTGAGTTGGACCTGACTAGCTTGTGCTGCTAGGTCGGATGCCATGCTCCTCTCTTAAGTGACGTGTCTGACCTCACTGGCTTTAGCCAGTGGGGAAATTGGACCTGCTTTGCATAGGCCAGTAGGCCTGTTGCAGTGTTCCTTCTTTTTTATGTTCTTATGTTGATGCTCTTAATAAAATAACTGCCAATAAACCACAGAATGGGTGGAATTTGAACCCATGTGAGTGAGTCATGAAACTCTAGGCCAGTGTGTAACCCAGCTGGCCCAGTGGCTTATGCACTGGCCTGGAGTTTTACCACTCACTTGCCATGGGTTCAAACCCCATCCATTCTATGGTTTACTTTATTTAACTCCATAGGGTATTATGATGAAAGCATTAGACGTAACTGGGAGAGCTACAGCCCACCCCACACCCGAAACTTATAGCTCCCGTCACTGACCTTCAGTTGATAGGACACAGGGTGGTTTTTGGAGACATTTTATGGAAAAAACGTGTGTCAAATAAGCCGTGAAATATGGTATACATATTCTACAGGGTAACCCAAAAATCTGGACACATAGGTGAAATTGCATTTTTGTAAAAATTATGCAGTAATTTTAATGAATGATATCCTTAACATGTCCACCTTTAGCAATGCGAAGTTCAGTGTGCTTTGAAAGATTCACATGAACACAATGCAGTAACTGTGGGAAAAAACAGAACGTTAGTAATATTTCCGGTGTGTCCAGATGTGGATAGTGGCTACTAGATAATAGCAGTTTTGTCGTATTATCAGTGCTGGAAGAGAACAGATAACAAATTAAAAAAATTTAATGAAATATATTTCCATTGTAGACAGCAGAGGCTATCACTGGTCGAAAATGAAGATTTCCACAAGAGCCTGTTAGAAATTGTCGTCAGTGATACATCCTCTGACCACATCCGTCACCGGGCACTTGACTTGCTACTCTGGATCACTTCCATATATACGGCCGCAGGTAAGATTGACCTCTCATGGAAATTATTGGTATGGATCTTTTTTTTTTCTTTAATGTAGTAGGCTTTTTTTTATTTAGTGTGTTAAGCGTTCTTTTTATGTGGTGTAATAGGCTTTTTTTTAGTGTAGTAGGCCAGTTCTTTCGAAGGCTTGTAAGCAACCCACAAATTCGGGGTGAATGTTTACCCAACATTTTGGTCGGTCCTGGACCATTATGAAGCTGCAAATTATCCACTTGCACCTTCGTTCATTATTATCCCACAGTGGACCAAAATTTGTAGTTCAGGGTTAGTGTTCCAGCCATGTTATCGTGACATTCAACTTTTGAGGGTACAGTAAAACCTTGATTTACCAGACCGTGTTTTAGTTAATTTTAGTCTTAATGGACAAAATTTGTGGCCCGACAACCTTTGGAAGAAATGGATCAAGTTGTCCGTTCAATCCAGACTTGTCTGTTAGTTATACAGGCTACTGTGTAAATTTATTCTGTATTTATCAGGCAAAGTCTGTTAAATCAGAATTGTCTGTTGTTGGTTTGGGCCTTGGGGTAAATTTATTTTTGGATTCAATAGACTAAGTCCTCTAAATCCAGAATTGTCTTGTTATGTTCATGCAAAAATGTTCTTAGAATTCAGATCTAATGGACAATTAACTTCAGCAACAATGCCATCTCTCATTAGACCATTAAATCGAGAGTTTACTGTATGAAGCATTACTGTTAATAGTATTCAAGGTTTATGGATGAAGACCCTTGAGGGTGTTCATCTGTAAACCTTGATTAAGGAATTGAACCTGAGCTCCCCTTCCTTGGAGTGAACCTAATTGCCTCCTATACCTTCGGGTGCTGTATGACCCCTGATGGGTTTAGCACTCCACCATGACTGTAATAATAATATAGAAGGAATTCGCAGTAAAATAAATTTCTCTTCTTCAAGTTGATGACCACACCATCAGCGTTGGAATCATCACTATGCTACAGCTCCATCTCTCGGGACTTGTGCATTCATGTCTTCTGCTTGGAGACCGCAGTATTGCCCATAAAACATCAAAAATAATAGTCACCGCTCTTGAGTAAGTTAGCAAATGGATTTTCAGTTTAACTCATTTTCAGTATACTTCCCACGTATGATTGAGCTATCAGAAGCACTCTTTGTAACCCACCTGTTCTGTTACTTATCTCAAGTTGAACAACACTCACTTGTCCTTACACAAGTAACATGTTAAACAACATTCACTTGTCCTTACACATGTAAGTCTTCACTAGGTCTTCAATAGGTAAATTAAATTTATTGTAATGAAAAATGGTTTAATAAGCGAGAATTTATTTTTAAAGTACAGGTTAAATGCATTAAATCGCATTTCAGTTAATATTGAAGTTTAATATTGATTCATTAGTGAACAGACTCACATAATGACAATATCCACCCACTTAATGGAAAATATCATAGTGCCTCTAACTCATCTGACTAGTGGATTGGTTCATTCACAGGCAGGAAAAACAAGCAAACTACATGTCAGTGACTGTTGTCATCCACTGTGTACCTACAGTAAGTCGTTGCTGTTGTAAATAACAAATTTCTGTGGCAATTGAAAACTATTACGATACTGCCTTGCCCAACCTAAGGTTCACAAAAGCATCATGTGATAAGAAATGTAGCAGTGTAAATGTTAAGAGGAAGATCATTAGTTTAAACAGAAAAACTGTTTATTTTCATGTATTACAGATTAATTGCAGTGAGACAATAGGTGAAGTGAATCTTTTGTAAATGCTGTCACAATACTTCTTGTACATAAAAGTTACCCTGTTTCCTTGAGTATTGTTCTAGTGTCATAACTGAAACTTGTCAGAAAGTGAAAGCAGAAAATAACCAGCATTCTTAGAAATCCACATTTTTGTGGACTTTGAGATTTTTCACTGAGGGCCATGCCTTAACTTCATCTAGTGTACCTACATTTCTTTAAATATTCCTTTGATATCATTAATAACAAGGCAGTGAAACCAAAGAAAAGCATCTTGAGTTCATATTAAACTCAGAGGTAACTCTTAGAAGCTTCATACAAGCTTCTCTGATTTTACATTGCAAGTTCCAAGACAAAGATTCTCAAGATTGTATTTCCTTCAATCTCTCTCTCATTGTATTTGATATCAGAATTGCATAGGGAATCTTAATCAAATAAGTGACAGGGAACCATGGCCTCTTTCTTATCTGTGTTAAAAAATCTTTTTCATTCTTCCTGTCCTTTTATGATCTTAAATCTAGCTGTCTCCTTGTTTCCTCTTACTAGCCACTTAGGTTATTTTTGGCATTTATTGCTTTTCATTCTAATTATTTTTTTGTATATATCTGAGGAGTTTTTTTTAGCTTATTTTTGAACATTTGTCTGTCTTGTTTACAAGTTTCACTGTGTTAACACCATTCTCCTGATGCACATTACAGTTTTTGAGCCACATATTATTAACAGAAATTATCAGTGTCCTTATGAGGAAAGTACGAGGACCTCTCACAATGTACCTCTTTCTATGTGGTAGCACTAAACATGTGACGAGGACCTGATACCAATATGTAAAAAAAAATTAGTAGTATTTCTGAAGCACTATAATTGTATAAATTATTTTTTGCAGGGGCTCACGTGTCGTTGAAGGCGGCACATTTTTTTGGATGGGCCGTCCTGGAAGCTCTACTGGAGTGGCTGGATCAGTTCTGCATTGTCAGAGTGCTGGAGCTCTTCACTGGTTCTTCACCCTCCTTAACCATGTTAAGTGGTGCAACCCTTGGGGCACCTCTCGCAAGGTATGCTCGGGCCCCACTGCACTTTTGTTATAATTACTCTTTTGCTACAGTTGTTTTATCAGAAGTGCACAGACAGTAATTCAAATGACTGAATTGCAACACCTTGATTATAATTTAATGACTGAATTGCAACATCAGATTTTATTAAGTTTAGAAATAGACATGTGTAACAGAAGGCTATGGTCTAAATAAAGGCAAACAATAACAAAAAAAGGCACAATACCGTGACTGGAATGATACACAGATAACCCGCACATAAAAGAGAGAAGTTTACAATGACGTTTCGGTCCGACTTGGATCATTTACAAAGTCACGTGACTTTGTAAATGGTCCAAGTCGGTCCGAAACGTCCGTCGTAAGCTTCTCTCTTTTATGTGCGGGTTATTTGTGTAAAAGCAAACAAGCTGTCCAGGTAAAGTAATACAGATGAACAAAAATAGAATATGAAGAAAATTCAGATGTATGGAGACTCCAATTGAAATTAAATATTTGAGTACATGAGGTCTTGCAAGTTCAGAATTAATGAGCTAGAAGTTATTGTCTAATAATGTTTTAGGGAAATGGTCCCTTACATCAAATAACCCGCACAAAAAAGAGAAGCTTATGACGACGTTTCGGTCTGACTTAGACCATTTACAAAGTCACACTGGTTTAGAAAGACACGTAAGCAAACACTATGACATTTATTAGAAAACGTTTCGGTCCTGGGACCTTGATCACTTCAAGGTCCCAGGACCGAAACTTTTTCTAATAAATGTCATAGTGTTTGCTTACGTGTCTTTCTAAACCAACTTGTCGGTATTTCAACAAAGTCACACTGTATCGTTCCAGTCACAGTATTGTGCCTTTTTTTGTTATAAATGGTCCCTTACTTGAAAAAAGTCAACACAGACAGACAATGCTTATACAGTAGGTTAGGTTCTGGGCTGCTGCTGCTCTCAAGTGAAAATTGCTGTACATTGAAAATCTCTTTTCACTTTCAAATGCATATAAAAACCTGATAATATATTTTACTTTTGTTTTTCTTTTTAATTCAACCCTGCCTTGGTGGGATATAGCTGGTTTCTTGAAAAAAAAAAGATTACACTATCATATATTAAATGAGGGAGCAAGAGGCTAGTAACTCTTTCTCCTGTATAAATTACTAAATTTAAATAGAGAAACTTTAGTTTTTCTCTTTAGGTCATCCTGCCTCTGTTGGGATACAGACAATTAGTTAAAAAAAAATATATCAAGTGAGCAGTAGAGCTACGCCTAAAAATGCATATACAGTACACTCATTACTTACCTTAAAATATTTTCATCCTTAGCTTATAGTGAATATGTTTATTGTAGGAAGTCTGAGCAAATGAAGACTGGGTATAATTGAAAACCTCTGCATTAGTGAAACTCTATAAAGCAGGGCCCTCCTGTACTAGCATAAGCCATTTAATTGTTCATATGAGAAATTATACTTGAGAACAAGCAAGTGATGTATGAAGTTGTGTAAGGCCCAGTAGAAAAAAAAAGGTTCCAGTATGGGCCAGTAGGCCTGCTGCCGTGCTCTTTTATGTTCTTTTGTGAAACATGCACCATAATTAATATTATTAAATGTCTCTTTATGACATGTTAAAAATATTGAAGTTTTAGTCCTTCTTATTGGATTGTTTGAGCCAGTGCTTCAGGAATATTGGATGCAGCAGTTCATATACTTCATTGAATTTTTAATTGTGGTAAACTGAATCAATTGAACACTGTACATGGATGTTGACACACTTCTCTAATTTTACTCATGCCCATGGATTCTGAACTTTTTCACATTTTATTTACACATTATATTTCACATTTTGTTTACACATTATATTTCACATTTACCTAGGTAGTAGGTTGGTAGACAGCAACCACCCAGGGAGGTACTACCGTCCTGCCAAGTGAGTGTAAAACGAAAGCCTATAATTGTTTTACATGATGGTAGGATTGCTGGTGTCCTTTTTTCTGTCCCATGAACATGCAAGATTTCAGGTACGTCTTGCTACTTCTACTTACACTTAGGTCACACTACACATACATGTACACGCATATATATACACACCTCTCTGGGTTTTCAGCTATTTTCTTTCTAGTTCTTGTTTATTTCCTCTTATCTCCATGGGGAAGTGGAACAGAATTCTTCCTTCGTAAGCCATGCGTGTTGTAAGAGGCGACTAAAATGCCGGGAGCAAGGGGCTGGTAACCTCTTCTGTATATATTACTAAATGTAAAAGGAGAAACTTTCGTTTTTCCTTTTGGGCCACCACGCCTCAGTGGGATACGGCTGGTGTGTTGAAAGAAAGATAGATTTCACATTTCATTTACATATTATATTTCATTATATTTCACCCTGCCTTGGTGGGAGATGGCCGACTTGTTAAAAAAAGAAAAAAAAAAATCACATTTATTTAATATTTTTTAACACACTGGCCATCTCCCACTGAGGTTGAGAGACCAAAAAAGAAACATTCACCATCATTCACACTGTCACTGTCTTGCCAGAGACATGTAGATACAACAGTCCAGATGTCCCTCCAAACAGCAAATATCCCCACCCCTTCTTTTTAATCTTTCTTTCAACACACTGGCTGTATCCCACCGAGGCGGGGTGGCCCAAAAGGAAAAACAAAAGTTTCTCCTTTTACATTCAGTAATATATACAGGAGAAGGGGTTACTAGCCCCTTGCTCCTGGCATTTTAGTCTCTTAAAACACGCATGGCTTACGGAGGAAGAATTCTGTTCCACTTCCCCATGGAGGTAAGAGGAAATAAACAAGAACAAGAACTAGAAAGAAAATAGAAGAAAACCCAAAGGGGTGTGTATATATATGCTTGTACATGTATGTGTAGTGTGACCTAAGTGTAAGTAGAAGTAGCAAGACGTACCTGAAATCTTGCATGTGTATGAGACAGAAAAAAAAGACACCAGCAATCCTACCATCGTGTAAAACAATTACAGGCTTCAGTTTTACACTCGCTTGGCAGGACGGTAGTACCTCCCTGGGCGGTTGCTGTCTACCAACCTACTACCTAGTTCTTTTTAATCTATTGGCTCTAAATAATATTTTAGCACAGCACTTTAAGATTTGACAAGATACGCAGTATGTATTACAAAATAAAAGAACATTGCAATTGTGGATGTTCAAGTTTGAATTTAGAGAGACTTCATGTTCTTTTGTATGACATTTAAAATCATAATTATGGCTTCCTTTACAGGTTACTCAACTGTTAACAATGATATCAGAAGCACTGAGCAAGAAAGTGGACCCATTACATGCAGTATTGCAAACTAGGTTCAATCTTTATGGGACCCCATTCGAGAGAGAGCTCTTCGACACTGATCCTCCATTACTTGCTAAACAAACGGTAAGTTTTAAAAACATGTAATTATTGTGTTAAGTTACACAAAGATGAGTAGCAGTATGGTTTTGAAGAGAGGAAGGGATAAACAGATTTGCAGCAAGGCACTGCATAGTGGGCCCAAGACTTGGAGACCCAGAGTAGTAATTGTAGGGATATACAGTGGTCCCTCGTTTTTCGTAATTAATCCGTTCCTGGAAGTGTGACTATTATCGATATTGACGATTTTTGAATCCCTTTTCCCCATAAGAAATAATGTAAATCCAATTAATTCGTTCCAGATACCCAGGAGTATGAACAACAATTTTTTTTTACCTTAAAGATAGATTTACATACACAAAAGAATGAACATTCAACATGACAGTTACCTTTATTGAAGGCTGTAGTTGATGAATGGAAGACAGGGAGGAGGAGAGAGGGAAGAGAGGTTATTGTCTGGAAGGGGAATCCCCCTCCATAAGGACTCTAGGTCACTTCAGGGGTCACTTCCCTAGCATAAATATAGATTTACATGGAGAAAAGATTGCCAAATAAATATAAAGCACTAATAAAATGTATAAACGAACATTGGTAATAGGGGTAGTTGATGAGTGGAAGGGTCTGTCTAGTAGGGTGATCGAAGCTAAAACATTGGGTAGTTTCAAATTTAGGTTGGATAAATACACGAGTGAGAGGGGTTGGATTTGAGTCGGACTTGCACCTGAGCTTATTGCTTGGGTAGCATTTGTTCTGTTAGTGGGTTGGATTTGTGAAGGACCTGCCTAGTATGGGCCAGCAGGCCTGTTGCAGTGTTCCTTCTTTCTTAAGTTCTTATGTCCTTATTTAACATCACACTTACCTTTATTAAAGACTTGTTTGTGTGAGGGAGGGATGGCGAGTTTATTGTTGGAGAATATGACACTAATATCAACTCTACGGCTTATTTATCTATCAATTCAACTAATATGACATAAATAATATTAATAACATAGAAACATGGAATATACTTTAGAATGAATAAAAAAGTCATTATGTATATCACGAGAGGTGTTGTGTTGTTGTTGGGTGTATAAGGGCCACTGAGAGTAAGCCGTCCATAATGTTGGTGAAGCAGCAGCTGAGGCGGCGGTGTTTTCTGTAGCCCTATATAACTCCAACAACATTGGACGAGTTGGTAGAATCGCTGAATCACTGAAGAAGGCACCCTCTGCCACCATCACAACCACTACTGCCCTCTACTACCATCACAACCACTATCACTACCACCTTCACTACCACCTTCTACCACTATTACAACTGCTACCACCTTCTACCACTATTACAATGCTACCACCATCACTACCACCTTCTACCACTATTACAACTGCTACCACCATCACTACCACCTTCTACCACTATTACAACTGCTACCACCATCACTACCACCTTCTACCACTATTACAACTGCTACCACCATCACTACCACCTTCTACCACCTTCTACCACCATCAACCACTATCACAACTGCTTCCACTCTATGACCACCACTTTCATATTTTTCTACAAACTTTTTCTTAAATTACAGTAGGGCCCCGCTTTACGGCGTTTCACTTTACGGCGTTCCGCTAATACGGTCATTTCAAATTATGACCAAAACTCGCTATACGGCTCCCCCCACCTGACTTTCTAATACGGTCACCGCGCCCCACCCTGTTTGTTTACATTCTCTGTGAGCTCAATAAGTACTAAGTCTCTCCATTTTGTCTGGAAACTCCAAAATTTCAAGTGTTTTTAAAAGTTATTTCATATTTTATATATACTCTGATAATTATACTTATGTATACCTGTACCTAAATAAACTTACACACACTGCTGGCATGCAGGTACACATTAAAATCAGTAAGAGTGTCTTGTGTCTCCAGATGTCATATTAGTAATGATAATAATAATCATCGAGTCTCATTACGTTAATATACACATTTTCATTAATCCATCTATGATATTTTTTCAAAATTATATAATTATATAATAAACACGATGCATAACATATAAATAAGATAAATACACCCCACAGTATAATAAATATAAATGTGAGATGTGGTAGCAGACGACTTGCACAAGTGACTCCATATTAGAAATAATAATAATAATGATAATCACCGAGTCTCATTAAATGTCGTATATTACGTTAATATACACATTTTCATTAATCCATCCATGATATTTTTTCAAAATTATATAATAAACATGATACATAACATATAAAGATGATAAATACACCCCACAATAGAATAAATAAACATAAATATGAGATGTGGTAGCCAGATAACTTGTACAAGTGATGGCAAGAATAACATTTTCTCTAATCTAACATAAGAGAAAATGTGTTACTGGGGGTAACTGTAGAAAATTATTCCTTTTGTATGTATGTAAGTTTATTCAGGTATACACAAATACAGTTACATAGATTATCATACATAACAACATATGTGTAGAGAACCTAGGATAACCCAAAAAAGTCAGAGTGACTTATTTCCATTGCCTTCACTCAGAGCATCATTTCTTCTCAAAATGATGCTACATGAGAATGGGAGTGTTCTTCTTTATTTATTCTGCCGTATCAATGTAGAGACAACCTGTACACAATGTAACTTGTACACAAACCAGACGTGTACACTTTTTGTTTACAAAACTTACCTTCGCCTGGTTTGTTTACATAACTCTGCGCCTGTCCTCTCTCATGCACTCATTCTCTCTCTCTCTCATTTATTCGTTTTATCTCATTTACTTACTCCTGACCCTTGGAGGCAAAGAGGGGAATGTATGAGAGTATAGTTTTACCAACGCTCTTATATGGGTGTGAAGCATGGGTGATGAATGTTGCAGCGAGGAGAAGGCTGGAGGCAGTGGAGATGTCACGTCTGAGGGCAATATGTGGTGTGAATATAATGCAGAGAATTCGTAGTTTGGAAGTTAGGAGGAGGTGCCGGATTACCAAAACTGTTGTCCAGAGGGCTGAGGAAGGGTTGTTGAGGTGGTTCGGACATGTAGAGAGAATGGAGCGAAACAGAATGACTTCGAGAGTGTATCAGTCTGTAGTGGAAGGAAGGCGGGGTAGGGGTCGGCCTAGGAAAGGTTGGAGGGAGGGGGTAAAGGAGGTTTTGTGTGCAAGGGGCTTGGACTTCCAGCAGGCATGTGTGAGCATGTTTGATAGGTGAATGGAGACAAATGGTTTTTAATACTTGACGTGCTGTTGGAGTGTGAGCAAAGTAACATTTATGAAGGGGTTTCAGGGAAACCGGCAGGCCGGACTTGAGTCCTGGAGATGGGAAGTACAGTGCCTGCACTCTGAAGGAGGGGTGTTAATATTGCAGTTTAAAAACTGTAGTGTAAAGCACCCTTCTGGCAAGACAGTGATGGAGTGAATGATGGTGAAAGTTTTTCTTTTTCGGGCCACCCTGCCTTGGTGGGAATCGGCCAGTGTGATAATAAAATAAATAAAATAATGAGTGGACTGGATATACATTTTATCACTCTGGGATGCTTAAATATCATAAAATAGTATGTGTGGGTGGGTTATCCTGGTATGGTAGCCCGGCTGACTACCATGCATACCACACTTGATTTCTTACAATAAACACTACTTGTCTCACCCTAGATTAAGACTACAAATATTTTAAGGTAAGTAATGAGTAAACTGTATATGCATTTTATCGCTCTAGGATGCTTAAATGTAATAGAATATTATGTGGCCTGGTATGGTAGCCCGGCTGACTACCATACATACCACACTTGATTTCTTACAATAAACACTACTTGTCTCACCCTAGATTAAGACTATAAATATTTTAAGGTAAGTAATGAGTGCACTATGTGTGTATTGTACTTTTTTATTGTTTTTTGATGCCTGGTTCTATTGCTAACTTAATATATGTTAGTGTAAACTTGTTATCTAGTGTTTGTATGCATTTATAAGGGAAAAAAGGATGTTCCACTTTACGGCGGTTTCCGCTTTACGGCGGTAGCCTGGAATCTAACCTGCCGTATAAGTGGGGCCCTACTGTATATGTGTTTCTCACATTCTTTACCAAAGGGCTGGCACTAGAAGCTTTCTTTGGAGCCATGGTGACTTATTGAGCAGTTGCAAGCACTAAAACGAATGGAATATTATGAAATGTATCGTATAAACTCGTGGGATCATCCTCACTGATAAACAACGGCACACTGGCTGGGAATGGAGTGTGAGGCGGCTCGGGGCTGTGTGTACAAGTCCCAGATGAACGACTATTTGCGAGTCAAACGATGATTCATGAGCCAATGTTTTGACGAAAATAACGTTACGATTTTCTAAAATTACGACCATCGAGCCTTACGATTATCGAGGGACCACTGTACAACCTGCTGCCTAACAGGAGACAGGAGCATAAAGACAACAAACGCAAACGCAACAAGAAATTCACATAGGACTTGAACAAAGCTACATATAGTGGGTAATTTCATCCACAAAGACATATACAGTGGTCCCTCGTTTATCGTCCTTAATCCATTCCTGGAAGTGGGACTCTTATTGAAATAGATGATTTTCGAATCAATTTTCCCCATAAGAAATAATGTAAATACAGTTAATCCGTTCCTGACACCCAGAAGTATTAAAACAAAAAAAATTTTTACATGAAATATAAATGTAGTACATAAACAATACAATGGGACATGATGAATGAAACATTAACAGCATAACACTTACCTTTATTGGCGATTCTTCTTAGTGTATGGGAGACTGGAGGAGGAGAGACATTGAATTACTGTTTGGAAGGGGAATGCCCTTCCATCAACACCTCAGGTACCAAGTGCTTTTCTGGGGTTACTTCTCTTCTCTGTTTCTTAATGCCACTAGGACCAGCTTGAGAGTCACTGGAGTCCTGTCTCACAAAAAAACTCTCCAGAGAGCTCTGTTTCTGGCATCTCTTTTAAACTTCCCTAAAATGGGCCAAGACTCTGTCACTGTGCAAGTTGCCGATATGGCTTGCAACATCCTTTTCAGGGTGATGTTTTTCCATAAATCTTTCCATCCTACCCCACATTTCAAAAATCTCCTTAATTTCTGAAGAAGGCACCTTCTTCCATCTCTCTTCCTCCTCCTGCTGAAGCTCTTGCAGCTCCTCAGTGGTTAGCTCTTTGTTTTAGTCCTCCACCAACTCTTCCACATCCTCCGAACTCACATCCAACCCCATGGAACTCCCCAATGCCTCAATAGAGTTCACAACTGACATAGGCTTTGGTGTAGAGTTTTTTAAAGTTTGAAATGACCTGCTGGTCCTTGGGCTGGAGGAGAGGAGTGGTATTCGGGGGCAAGAACTTTACTATGATGATCCCAAACTCCTTCAGAATTAGGTCATCCAAGTTTGGAGGATGAGCAGGTGCATTGTCCATTACTAGGAGGCACTCGAGATCCAATTTCTTTTCCAGGAGGTAATTCTTCACACTAGGGCCAAACACTTCATTGAACCACTCGACGAAAATTTCCCTCGTGACTCATGCCTTATTATTAGATCTCCAAAACACACACAATTTACTCTTCATAACATTGTTTTTCTTGAACACACTGGGATTTTCAGAATGGTACACTAGTAACGGCTTCACTTTGAAATCCCCACTAGCATTAACACAGAAAATGAGCGTCAGCCTGTCTTTCAAAGGCTTGTGTCCTGGCAGTGCCTTTTCCTCCTGAGTAATGTAGGTCCTCTTTGGAATTTTCTTCCAAAAGAGGCCTGTTTCATCACAATTGAACACTTGTTCAGGTTTCAGCCCTTCAGCCTCTATGTACTCCTTGAATTCATGCACATATTTTTCAGCCGCTTTTTGGTCTGAACTGGCAGCTCACCAAGCCTTCTCACACTGTGTATGCCAGTACGCTTGTTAAATCTCTCAAACCAGCCTTTGCTGGCCTTAAATTCACTCGCATCACCACTAGTTGCAGGCAATTTCTTTACCAGATCGTTGTGCAACTGCCTAGCCTTTTCACAAATAATCGACGTCATAAGACTATCTCCTGCTAATTGTTTCTCGTTTATCCACACCAATAATAACTTCCCAACATCTTCGAGTACTGGTGATTTCATTTTTATCAGCATATTTATCCCCTTTGCAACAACAGCTCCCTTGATTTCCTTTTTCTTGGCCACGATGGAAGATATGGTTGTACGGGATTTGTTATACATCCTGGCCAGTTTGCCCACACGTACGCCACTTTCACATTGTTCAATGATGTTTTTCTTAAATTCAGTCATATTTCTCACTTTCTTTACCAAAGGCTTGGCACTAGGAGCTTTCTTTGGAGCCATGGTAGCTTATTTAGCACTTGCAAGCACTAAAATGAATGGAATGTTATGAAATATTTCGTATGAACAAGTGGGGGAACGTCGCTCACTGGTAAACAATGGCACACTGGCTGGAAAGGGAGGCCGAGGTGGCTCAGAGCGTGATTGCGCGTCCAGGACGAAAGACGATTAGTGAGTCAACAGACCATTTGCGAGCCAATGTTTGGATGAAATAACGGGACGATTTCCGAAAAGGACGACTATCGAGCCGGACGATTATTGAGGGACCACTGTATTGGGAAAACTGGGACCTACACGGAGGACTGAAAATGTGGTAGGCTGAGTTGGAGGTGATTAAAAAACTGTTAATGATACAACAAAAAAAGAAAAATTGACAGACTAACTGACAAACCCTAATATTTATCACAAATATTTCTGATGTAGGTGAAGTTGAATATGAGAGCCACCAGGGTGCTAGCAAACATACAGTACTGAACTTGGAGTACCTTGTGGAATTAAACGTAGAGGTAAGAACGTCAAGGGAGGGTATGAGAAGCCCAACTTCAGAATAAGGGATGCTGCGAAGATGAGGAGATTAATATATTCAGTGGAGTGAGAAAGGAAACTGGAAGGAAAGTCAGTGATTGAGAAGATGGAATACCCGGTTGGGAAGTGCTGGGAGGTAGAGGGAAAACTCCATAGCCAGAAAATATAGAGAGCTCTTGATTCAACCGGAAAGGCATTATGGAGGCAGTCGAGTCAAGACATTGTGGAAGGCAATCCTCAGAAAGAACATGGTGTCACAAATGAAAATGGAATAGATTAGATTTAATCTTGCATCAGACTGTCCAATATATAAGACTTGTTTTATTGTAGTTGCCACCTTGGTGTGTTTTACATGCTAACACTTTTTTTTTTTTTCCAACAAGTCCGCCGTCTCCCACCGAGGCAGGGTGACCCAAAAAGAAAGAAAAAATCCCCAAAAAGAAAATACTTTCATCATCATTCAACACTTTCACCTCTCACTCACATAATCACTGTTTTTGCAGAGGTGCCCAGAATACAACAGTTTAGAAGTATATACGTATAAAAATACACAATATATCCCTCCAAACTGCCAATATCTCAGACCCCTCCTTTAGAGTGCAGGCATTGTACTTTCCATTTCCAGGACTCGAGTCTGGTTATATAAAATAACCGGTTTCCCTGAATCCCTTCACTAAATATTACCCTGCTCACACTCCAACAGCTCGTCAGGTCCCAAATCCCATTTGTCTCCATTCACTCCTGTCTAACACGCTCACGCACGCTTGCTGGAAGTCCAAACCCCTCGCCCACAACACCTCCTTTACCCCCCCCCCCTCCAACCTTTATATTTTATATTTTATATTACTTTTATTGTAAGAAATTTTATTTTGATAGCAATAAATGTTTTTTGTTTCTTTTTGGGTCACCCTGTCTCGCTGGGAAATGGCCAATGTGTTAAAAAAAAAACTGTTTTTCCATGCTTTCATGTAACATGTCAATAATGATTAATCATTTTCACCCACAGATAAGTGGAAGTTCATCTGGTCCTTCAAATTCAAACCACAACACTGGGAACAATAACAACAACAATAATAATAATATTAGCTTTGGTGGAACTGGTATATCAGGAAGCATGCAGGGAGGCCCTGGAGGAAGCACGCACAACTCTACCATGAATGGCAAAACTGGCGGCCCTGGAACCACCATTGGGTACCCATACATTATGATGGGACGTGATGACAGCGATATCGGTGCACTCTTAGGACGGGGTTCACAAGTTGGCTCCTTCCTTGGCTTAACGCACACCAGTGCACTGTGTGGTCTACTGGAGGTGGAACCACTTCATTTCACTTTGCACATGGCTAGCGACGGTACGAAGATGGAAAGAGCTTCATCAGGTTAGACCCTAGTTGCTATTTTTCATGAAAGTGTAGAGAATTGTTTTCTTTTACTGTGGATGGCATTGGTGAGGCTTGATAGTACTGCCTACAAGACATGGATTCTGTATTTGCTTAATATAGCAAAATATGCTCAGTATTGTATGTTATAACATCAAATATATGTTGCTCTTGCATACAGTAAATGTTTTTTTTTTAGTAAGTCAGCCGTCTCCCACCAAGGCAGGGTGACCCAAAAAGAAAGAAAATTACCAGAAAGAAAATACTTTCATCATCATTCAACACTTTCACCTCACTCACACATAATCACTGTTTTTGCAGAGGTGCTCAGAACACAACAGTTTAGAAGCATAAATGTATAAAGATACACAACATATCCCTCCAAACTGCTAATATCCCGAACCCCTTCTTTAGAGTGCAGGCATTGTACTTCCCATTTCCAGGACTCAAGTCCGGCTATACAAAAATAACCGGTTTCCCTGAATCCCTCGCTAAATAATGTAAATGTATACTCTTTTTTTTTTCTTCAACAAGTCGGCCGTCTCCCACCGAGGCAGGGTGACCCAAAAAAGAAAGAAAATCCCCAAAAAGAAAATACTTTCATCATCATTCAACACTTTCACCACACTTACACATTATCACTGTTTTTGCAGAAGTGCTCAGAATACAACAGTTTAGAAGCATATACGTATAAAGATACACAACATATCCCTCCAAACTACCAATATCCCAAGCCCCTCCTTTAAAGTGCAGGCATTGTACTTCCCATTTCCAGGACTCAAGTCCGACTATATGAAAATAACCGGTTTCCCTGAATCCCTTCACTAAATATTACCCTGCTCACACTCCAACAGATTGTCAGGTCCCAAGTACCATTTGTCTCCATTCACTCCTATCTAACACGCTCACACACCCTTGCTGGAAGTCTAAGCCCCTCGCCCATAAAATCACTGTTGGAGTGAGAGTGAAAGGATTCATAGAAACTGGTTAGCCAGACTTGAGTCCTGGAGGTGGGATGTACCTCCAGGATATTTGTAGTTTGGAAGGGCATCTGAACTGTAGTATCTTTGCCTATGGCAAGACAATGATATTGAATGATGGTGAAAGTTTCTTTTTTGGGTCACCATTCCTTAGTGGGAGATGGCCACTGTTGTGATTAAAAAAAAAAAAAACACTACTTACAAAAAAGTGATCCAGAATCTCTGTGCTATATCATTTGGTGTCTCTAATTGGAAATTATCCAAATCTCTTAGTAGTAGTGGTTTTACTATCCTATACTGTCACTGTATTATGAAAATTGATGCTTAGGTTTTGTTACATCATGAATGTGCAATTCTTATATTATTCACTGTTATCCATGTTTTGTATTCCATCCACAGTAACGAGGAAAGTGACTCTCACCATCTTTGCTGAATTTTTGGCAGTCTTTATCAGTAATGACGTTTTTTTAAGATTTCTGTGGTGAACAATGCTTAAATATTTTGAGACATTTTCTCTACCTGTACTATGTCTGTAACTTCTACATGCCTTATAAGTACTGTATTCTGTGGTATGCTTTCTCCCATAGTTCTCAGTTTCTCATACTTAGGCTTAATAACACCAGTGGTAAATATAGATAACACAAATTGTTCTATTTTCTGAAAGGATGATAGCAGCAGTCTCGACTTAATTTCTTTGCGCATTTTTTAGTATTAGTTATAAGAGCCACCTCTCGTATATTTGTTATGTGGACTACTAAAAAGATAATGAATCGTATAAAATCGGAGTTGTCACAGTTGCTGTTTGCAGATGACACAGTGGTATTGGGAGGTTCAGAAGAGAAGTTGCAGAAATTGGTGGAGGTATTTGGAAGGGTGTGTAAAGAGAAAGAAGTTGAAAGAAAACACAAAAAAGAGCAAGGTGATGAGAGTAAGTAGAAGTACAGCCTCTCCTCAGTTTGCGACATACTTGTTTACTGATTCCTCGGACTCACAACTGGCTATCTGACCAGTATGCATACCTAAATAATGTATATTAGAGCTGATTTATTATAATATACAGTACACTACTGTATAAACATTTAAAAATATACCAGAAATATTATAAATGGTGCAAAGGTGACATGAAAACAATGTCAAAGATGGTTGACACAAACTCACTACCATTATAGTATGCTCCTCACTTAGCAACAAATTCGTCTACAGACGTGGTCTTAGGAACGGAACTCCGTCGTTAAGTGAAGAGAGGCTGTATAGGAAATGAAGATTGTAGGCCAGATTGGAAGGAGTATGGAGGAAGTGATTGTGTTTACCTATTCATGTCCAATATGTAGTTACAGGAACTAACTTTAAGCTCATAATGTCCAGTCGTCTGTACTTTACACAAGTTTGCAGTCGTTGTAACACATGCTACCTCCTCCTCGATCCCATTCCAATACTCTTTACATTCTTATTTACTCTTAAGCATTGTCTTTTCTTGGTTTGCAGTTGTGGTCTTTTGCTGCTCTGTTGGTACTGAGAAATCCTTAAGCTATTTTCTTACATCCTTCCATGTTCTAGTATGTTATTATTTCCCTTTTTTTTTTCTTTCATCAACAACGATGGAGTGTTTCTTGTGTTTCTTCGTAAATTGTGTGTGTTAGCCATGAGGGACATTTACATTTCTCCCAGTTTTTTTTATCTTCTCTACATATATATTTTTTATTATTATCACACTGGCCGATTCCCACCAAGGCAGGGTGGCCCGAAAAAGAAAAACTTTCACCATCATTCACTCCATCACTGTCTTGCCAGAAGGGTGCTTTACACTACAGTTTTTAAACTGCAACATTAACACCCCTCCTTCAGAGTGCAGGCACTGTACTTCCCATCTCCAGGACTCAAGTCCGGCCTGCCGGTTTCCCTGAACCCCTTCATAAATGTTACTTTGCTCACACTCCAACAGCACGTCAAGTATTAAAAACCATTTGTCTCCATTCACTCCTATCAAACACGCTCATGCATACCTGCTGGAAGTCCAAGCCCCTCGCGCACAAAACCTCCTTTACCCCCTCTCTCCAACCTTTCCTAGGCCGACCCCTACCCCGCCTTCCTTCCACTACAGACTGATACACTCATACACTCTTGAAGTCATTCTGTTTCGCTCCATTCTCTCTACATGTCCGAACCACCTCAACAACCCTTCCTCAGCCCTCTGGACAACAGTTTTGGTAATCCCGCACCTCCTCCTAACTTCCAAACTACGAATTCTCTGCATTATATTCACACCACACATTGCCCTCAGACATGACATCTCCACTGCCTCCAGCCTTCTCCTCGCTGCAACATTCATCACCCATGCTTCACACCCATATAAGAGCGTTGGTAAAACTATACTCTCATACATTCCCCTCTTTGCCTCCAAGGACAAAGTTCTTTGTCTCCACAGACTCCTAAGTGCACCACTCACTCTTTTTCCCTCATCAATTCTATGATTCACCTCATCTTTCATAGACCCATCCGCTGACACGTCCACTCCCAAATATCTGAATACATTCACCTCCTCCATACTCTCTCCCTCCAATCTGATATTCAATCTTTCATCACCTAATCTTTTTGTTATCCTCTACATATATATTTAACCTTTTCAAGGTCAGTCCCATTGTTCTATGGCTTTGAAGCCTGGACGAGTCCCGTAGTTCTACACCATTAGCTCAGCTCTCAGCTGAGCTGTGAGCAGTAAATTTGAACTTTGAGATGAAGGAATAGGTCTTTGCGGTAAGTGTGCAACGTATATAAAAAAATCCTGCAGCACACAGCGCATAATGGGGAAAATAACTGCAACCTTTTTTTTTTTGGTTTAAAACGGTGACTTTGTGGTGTCTTTTCATATGGTTTTTATGTTTATATTCTTGTTTTCTTGGTCTTATTTGACAGAATGGAAGATATATTACAGAAATATAGATGTTTTTGATTGGTTTCAAGATATTCCAGAGTGTACATACAAATTACATCACTTGTATAATACCCGTCCAGGTGGTCAGTTTGTGTTTACAAATGCACTGACATTGTTTATACAATTACTACAATACTGCAGTAGTCTGCATAACAGCAAATCTTCTATTTTTTGTGTGAATGCAAATTTCATATGGAAAACAAGCATAATATAGGAGAGGCCTGAAGATGTGATTAATGAATAGAGGAAATGTTCTTTTAGTGCCAGAAATGTCTGCATTGTTTATTCTGGACCCTATTTTGAAACTGGCAAATTTTTTTTTTTTTTTTTTTTTGTGAAATTGACTAAATTACCAATATCTGTTTACATTATTGGGTAGTTGATATAGGTAAATTGATGGTTTCTTGTAATCAATCTATAGAATAGAAAGAATACTAGTGAAATGGCTATGATTTTGGTTGACTGGAAGAATGGAAATGGCTGAAAAAAGGGCTCAAATTGGGTGAAATTGCCAATGCGTAAATATCGTCGAGATCACTAAATTTGCGATAGCATAATTCCACAAGTTTTCCATCAAATTTCATACTTTTGGTTTCATTTTGCTGTGAAAAAGATTCTCTATTATTTCATAAGAAAAAAAAACAATTTAATTTCTCCGACCCTGAGAGCAAATTTCAGATAAGGGATTCCGACCCTGAAAGGGTTAAGATGCAGAGACGACACTACAGTTGTATATGTATTTCATTTTTTATTTAACATAAATAGTTTTTTAGGGTGGTATTTTGTCATCTGCATATGTGAAGGCTGCTTTTGAAGTTTGCTACTGAACTACATGAGGGTTTCACTGTATTCAAGTGATCTCTCTATTTCTATCTTTTTAAGATAATTTCTTTTAGATCCATCTCCACCTGATGCTTTCAATATTTTATCACAATTTATATTGCTGTTGTGGCTTGTGATGGCTTTCTAATATTTCCATTGCATGTCTTTTTTTTTTTCTTTGTTTTTTAACACTTTGGCCATCTCCCACCGAGGCTGGGTGACCCAAAAAAGAAACACTTTCACCATCATTCACACATAATCACTAT